TATATATTAATAAGTATCCACAACTATTATTATTGTAGTAATAATATTCATAATCATTCCTTTAGGAACAATAAGAATAATTACGACTGCAATAACAATAATCGGAATATAAATTTATAACGTCTTAACGGAACGGAATTTACAGAATAACACTCGGATTTTAACTGGATAAACACTCGAATTTTAACTCACAACATAAAATAAAATTACACACACAAGTGTTTCAAGTACCAAATGAAAATAAAAACAAGAACAAGAACATCAAGAACACTAGAAAGTGTTTGTACTAATTCTAATATTTGTATCTAAGAACTCAAGCTAAAACTTCCTTTCCGAACTCTCCCTTAAGACCTCTCACAAATGATGTATTTATACTAGTTCAAGAGGGGACAAAATCACATCAAAATCATCTTAAGATCATTATGCATTAATGGCTAGCATATCTATCAAAAATCAGCCCAAAATCTTCCAAAATCCGCCCAACATCCATGTTTGAAAAGTGGGCGCCGCCCATGTTGAACAAGACTTGGCAGCTTGCGCGGTTTTACGGTTTTGGCTCGTACGGGCTCGTCCGGACTCGGAATTGAGTTCCGTTTTCTCCTACGCGTAGCTAACGAACCCCTCTTCAATTCAATGTCATATACTGGCCATAATTAGTTACAAAAGTTGCCCCAAAGTTATGCTGTAACGTGGCCGCGGCGCGAGGCTTGGACAGCTTGCGCGGCTTTACGGTTTTTTCTCGTTTGGGATCATTCGGACTCGAAATTTAGTTCCGTTTTCTCCTACGCGTTACTAACGAGCTCTTCTTTCCAGCTATGCTCAAAAGAGCAATTTATCTTGTAACTCAAATCTTCACGGGGCTCGATACCAATGCGTCGGAAACGATAACTCTCGAAAATCCAGACTTATTATACCTGAAATTACACCAAAAACCGGAAAAACACAAAAACACACAAAAATACACGAAAAGACACGAAAAACCACAAAATACACAATAAACACTAGAACAACAAAAATAACCAAAAACAACTAAATGGACCGAAAGACCTTCTAAAAGACCTAAAAATGAGGGAAAATAAATGTAAAATAACAATAAAAAACGTAACAAAAATAATCACAACATTGGTAAGAAAATTTTAAAATTCCGATGCGCGTACGATTGATTCGTACGTATAAAATCCAACAAAAGTTGAGTTCAGAAAGTTCTCAAACAAGAACCATCAGACACCATGAGATCAACAACATAATTTTTTATCAATCATCCACACAATTTTCCACAATATCAGTAGGGATTCCAGTTGCAAACCCACTAAAAATTGCAAAATTTTTTTAGAAACCAGAGAAAAAAATGACATTTGGTACCAGTTAAATAGGGGCAATTCTCTATATAACTAACATGGTTAACTCGAGTACCTGAACCAGAATACGGGATTAGATGCTTCTCCAAAACGGAGAGGATGTCGCGGCAAATCTTCGACTGATCTTCCTCCACCGTATGATGATACAGTTCTACTTGTTGTTCTCGTGGCCCTTAATCTCGTTGCCCTTGGTCCTCCTTCTACTTGATTGAAGTTAATATTCTCCAGGAATTTTCTTGTTGCACTCGATTGAAGATGAATTCTCCAGAATTGTTAGACGGCGAAAAGTAGGGTTCTTAGAAATCAATTTTTGTTCATCAGTTTTTACATAATGTTTCGCGCGCTTCTTTTTTTTGATATATTTATTAGAAAGTGGAATTTTGTTTTTATTATGTTGATTGGGATTTGGGAAAAGATACGATAGTGTTATGAAGCACTGTGCAAGTGTATTAACTGATATAACACTTTTTAAAAGGAGCGTTATAATATGGATAAGTATTGTAAATTTATATAGCACATCTAAAAGAAGTGTTATGTGTTTTGCCTTCTCTTATGACGCTTGTTAAATTAAGTGTTATCTAAAGGATACTTGTTTTTTACATAACACTTATTTAAAAAAACGTTATCTCAAAAGTGTTATCTGAATGCTTTTTTGGCATAGTGAATCCTTTCGATTCGTGCTAACCGTCTTCTCCAATATGTGCTTGATTTCTCGATTCGCTACCTCCACTTGTCCGTTTGCTTGCGGGTGATATGCTAAGGCCACTTTATGCTTGACGCCGTACTTCGAAAGAAGTCTCTCCATCAACTTATTCACAAAGTGAGACCTCCCGTCGTTAATTAAAGCTCTAGGGGTTCCAAACCGAGTGAAAGTATTCTTCTTGACAAACTTAAGAACAACAACGGCATCATTGGTGTGCGATTGCCTCCCAACGGGAGACATACTCAATGGCAAGGAGAATATACCGGTGTCCACATGAGGAGGGGAAAGGACCCATGAAGTCAACCCCCTAAACATCGAATAACTCGACCTCGATCACATTCGTCATAGGCATCTCATGCCGCCTCAAAATATTACCCATCCGTTGACATCGATCACATTGATTCACAAAAATATAGAATTCTTTGTACAAGGTCGGCCAATAAAAACCACTTTGTAATACCTTCGCGGCGGTACGAGCGGACCCAAAATACCCACCTGTCGGTGAAGAATGACACTGCTGAAGAATTCCATTCCACTCTTGTTGTGGAACACGCCGTCGAATGATCATATCACCACACCTCTTGAAGAGAAGAGGCTCATCCCACATATAGAACCTCACATCATGGAGGAATTTCTTCTTCTGATAAAACGATAAGTCTGGAGGTAGGACTCCGACCACCAAATAGTTGACGATGTCGGCGTACCAAGAAAATTTGGCCTCAGTCATTAGGAGCTGCTCGTCTGGGAACTCCTCTTTAATATCTCTCGAAGTGTCGTCCTCTTGCTGTTTATAATCACGTCTCGATAAGTGGTCTGCCACCACATTTGCTTACCCTCGACGATCTCGAAAATCAACGTCAAATTCTTGCAATAAAAGAATCCACTAAATCAAGCGTGGCTTAGAATCCTTCTTGTCAAATAGATACTTGATTGCCTCATGGTCTGTATGCACGATCGTCTTGGTCCCAATCAAATAGGCCCGGAACTTGTCAAATGCATAGACTATGGCTAACATCTCTTTCTCCATGGTCGTGTAATTTTGTTGGGTGCCATCAAGAGTCTTGCTCGCATAATAAATGGCTCTGAAAAGTTTATCACGTTGTTGGCCCAACACTGCTCTAACAGCAAAATCACTCGCACCACACATGATCTCAAACGGTTGAGACCAATCAGGGACCACCAAAATAGGAGAGCTCACCAATGCCTTTTTTTTTTCAATTAATGTGGAACTATTACAATATATATTAATGAAGTATAATAATAATTTAAACTAATTTATTATGTAATAATTACTACTAATACTAGCTAATTATAAATTGACATTAAATATTATGTGAAAGTTACATAATTATAAAAATTTGTATTATAATTTTTTTATTAAGATACTTATTCTATAATAAATATTATTTTTCGTCTTATTTAGCTGTTTTTCTCTAATATTAGTTAATTGATATGAGTGTTATAATTAAACTCCTTAAAATTACATAAGTAATTACTATAACAACACTAAAAATAGTGGTAATACTTTTTTAACTAATTAATCGTATGGTCCCTCTAAATTACAAAATTACATAGTCTATTAAAATTTATGTCATCAATATAAAGATTCACATGCAAGTTAAATAATTTATATTTATATTGTACATTTGTGTATAGTCAAAAATTTTAAATATAATACATCAATTATCTAATTTAAAATTTTAAATATTGTACATGTACATATAATATATAAATTTTTATTTGTCTCCGTGCATGCACAGAACCAATAATAGTTATTTTAATCACTTCTCCTCTAAGCATCTCCAATGCTCCACTTTAGCATTAATTAAGTTTGAACACATGTCAAATGATGAATGAAATGTAAATCCATGTAATATGAACTAGTATGGCACTCGTGTACTACACAGGTTGTTTGAAAAAAATAAAACATAAAATAATAGAAAAAACACATGTTGTATAACTATTTCAACTCTTTAAAATATATTAGAAAGATCATGTGATATTCTATAACTATTTCAATGTATTTGTATAGATATTCTAAAAAAAATTAAATAATTTATTTACCATGGTGTTCATCAAAATTTATTTTATTTATATTAGAAAGATCATGTAATATTCTATCACTATTTCAATGTATTTTTTATAAATATTCTAAAAAAATTTAAATAATTTATCTGGATTGAAAAGATATAATATATAAGTGGCTATATATTTTTTGTAAAATTATAGTATTTTTTTAATTTAAACTATATAAAAAAAATTATTGTTTACATTAATTATATAAATAAAATAATATATAAAGCTAAATTTTTTATTTTGATTTACACCATATAAAATAATATATAAAGCTAAATAAAAGGTATTTTTTTTAGATGTAATGTTGTCAAGTAAGCTTTATTGGAGGATTTACACGGCATATAAGAATCCTATTTATTTGGGAGTTGGAGGGATCGGATTAAAGAAAATTTTTATTTATAAAGTATTTTATTTTAAACATTTAGGGAATGTATCCGAACCAAAAGCCGAAGCATGTAATGTTGCCAAGTAAGCTTCCGAAGCGTGCGAGACAACCATTTAGGCTCAGCACGTTTTCAAATTATATTAAGAGGGGATGTCAAAAAAGAAGACTTTAATTTGAAATGCACATCTCCAATGCATCCCTTTCAAAAACTTAAAATATGTTAGATTTTTGATGAGTTAGACTTTCAAACAGGATTTGAAAAACTAGAAAGTGAGCTTCACACTTTGGATATTTATTTTCTCCATGTCAGCATAAAAGAGTCCATAACATTATGGATTGGAGAGTAATTTTTGTAATTACTTTATAACTTGATGATGTGGCTAACATTTTATTAAGTCAACAAAGAGTAATTTTTGTAATCACTTTATAACTTATGACGTGGCTACCATTTTATTAAGTAACATCTCACCTTGTATATGTTTTTCATCGAAATCCCTCCCCACCTTTTTTAAAACATAGGTTTCCTCCATCTCCGCCTCGTCTTCTTTCTCTCTGATTCTACTCCGGCAATGCCTTGCAGCGCCGTTCGAGAGCTTACAGTTCTAACTGAGTTCAAGCCATTTGGCTTGACTGCCGAAGCCCTCGACGGCTGCAAACACTCTGACGACGACTACCATTACTTCCTTTTCGATCCCCAGCTTGCCCTGCAGAGAGATGAGGCCGAGGAGCTTGATGATGCTTCCTCATTGTGCAGTGTGAGGGGTGATCACGAACTTTTCATAAGAGGAAATCGGTAATTGCATGATAATTTTTTGTTAGTGTTTGATTTTTTTTCGTTAGAATTTTGTGAAGTTGGGAGTTGTGGCTTGATTGAAGAAATAACGAATTCTTTATTAATGCAAATTGGTAAATAGTTGGTCGCTTTTGAAAGTTTGCACCTTAGTGCTCCCGCTTTTTATTGAAAGAAATGCGTAAATTTTTTAATAGAATGCAGTAACTAATCAAAAGAAAGTTCTAGTCCGATACTCTCATGTAAGAAATAACCAAAGTTTTTAACTGTCATTATTTTGATCACAAGTAGGAATTATCTGTTTTTTTTTTAATAATGTGTCTGTTTGTGCCCTTTTCTGAAGGACAAATGTGTTGTTGAGAACCCAGCAGAACAGTTTTCTCATGGTGAATTGGAAAATACAAATTTTTTCTCAGTTCAATTTATTGTATTATTTTAATTTTTTAAGTTGTAGGAGATGAAATATACTAACTATGCAGAATCTGAAGCTTTGGCAGAAAAAAATATACTTTTGAGTTGTATGAGATGAAACTATGAAACGTACTCTTAAGTTGTAGGAGATGAAATATACTAACTATGCAGAATCTGAAACTTTGTCAGAGTCATATGGAGTACAGGCCCCAGAATTCATCGGAGGTTCACATTGCCATCCAAAGTCGTCAAGGTGATAGATGTTTCTCTAAGATGAAAAGTCAATTTTCTTTGATTTGGAAAACTAATATATTATGCCTCAATACAGTCTATCCTCTTAGTTGGTGTATTGTTATATGTTAGTTGATAACAACTGAGTATTCATAGCTCATACGTTCCGAAGGGCATGGTGGTAGTTGATTAGGATTTATGGTGACGTTGAATGAAAACATAATAACTGAATGTAGTTTGTTCTTCTTTTTTGAGTTTGCCACATCATTTGCTGCTATAACTTTCAAATAAGTGGAGATGACACACATTTTGATGATTTTGGCTACATTTAAATTAACCTTCTCAAGCTATTTTCACTTCCCTTTTGTGTACCTTTCTCTATCCCTCAGGATGTTTGCTATATTTAAACTTGTGTCGGAAATTTATGAATTATATGTATCACAGACTCTTTTTTAGTGCTAGAGCACTAGTGTGACTTCATTTATCCACCAAATTCCTATTTTTAGTTGATGTAGAACCAGCTAAACGCTTTCTTGCCTTCTCTTAAGACTTTTGCTCAATCTCTCCTCCACGTCTATCCGCATTCTATTGCGGTAAGTGATTGCTATGTACTTCAGAACACAGTAATTCTGTGAGAACACAGTAATTCTGTACTGCTTGACTGCATATTCCATCGTTTATAACCTTACCGACACAAGTGGAGCTATTGTTGGAGATCTTTTACTGTATGTTTTGTTTAACTATCCATCATCTTTGTAGGGAATTAATCTATGATGCTGAGTTGGTCTCTTTTTAAGTGAATGTAAGAGACGGAAAGCTAAACTTTCGTCAAAACTTTTATTCATTTTTTTTAAATTCTTAGAAGAATTGTTTGTTACCGGTTTACAATGTTTTCTTGACCAAGCATTAGATAATATGACAAGACGAAAGCTAATGTTTGTCTTATGTGTAAACTTAGTGTGATTTTAAACCATTTCATGTTATAAGTGGCAGGTATGCTGGTGCCGGATGGGTCATCTGTCTGAAGCCTTACTTTGTGTTCTCCAAGTTAATAGTTTAACAATCTATGGGATGGCAGGTGAGATTGTCATTTGTCTTTTTTGATTTTTTCTTCAAGAATTATAGTCTGGGCATATATGCTATGCGAGCTTGAGAAGCTTGACAATTGCCAGTATTTTTTGCTATTTTTCATGACCTTAATGACCCTTATGATTTTTAAATAGCTTTGTGTTAGTTTACAAATTAAAATCTTGCGCATTGTGAGCTTATTCAAAATTTTCAGTTGTATAGATATTGCTAGGAGTTTGGTCTCACTCTCATCATCGTTATGTAACTCAATAGAATTTTGTTTGTTAATAGAAGGGCACAATACACAAAGGAACTATTGAAAATCATAGAGTTAGTTGTTCAATATCACTTTTTCTTTATTGTATATCCTTTTCAATTGTTAGTCCCCAGCATGCATTTTCAACTCGATGCTTTATTTTCACGTTAGCGAAAATCGTCGACTGTCTTTTACAGGTGAAGTGGTCTCTGTCCCGCTTCCTCATGCCATCACGTCAATATGGTCTCTTCCGTTCGGTTTACTTCTCCAGCAGGCACCCGTAGAGAGCTTACTAACAAGTATTTCGTTGTCATCCTTGAACCCATTTTTAAGTGTCCGTGATGTTTTCCGCCAGAAAAGGGATGTCGGATACAGCCCACAACATAATTTTAGCCCACCTTATAATTGTGATTATAGTACAAGAATCAATGGCGCATCAATGTCCTCTCATCTGATATTGAAGGATCCCTTAGAGGAACCTCAGGCATTAATTTACTTTCTTTTGTTATTCTGGATATATCATGCCAATTGTATTTTGCTATTTGTTAATCGTCATGCTGACTGGTTTCAGTATTGTGCATATCACTGATGGAAATTTCTTGTTGGTTCCTTAGATAAGTTATATGGAAGAAAGAGGGAAATTAAATGTAATGTGGGAATTTGATGAAAAAACCATTTGGACTAGTCACTGTGTGCCTCTGATGGTTTCATATAACAAAGGTAAGTAAAGTCAATTGTCCCTATTTTAGTATTTCTTCCTTCTTTTGGATTTTAATTGCCAGGAAATATTTTGTATTTGCTTTGTAGGAAAGATGCAACACTCGCTATGGGTAGTAGAGGTCAATAACTCCAACCTTGAAGTAGCAAATTCTAAAGCATCCAACATAAGTGCCTCTCAAATGTCAGGAAAACATCTTTTCAGAAGGATATGGCAGGGGAAGGGTTTACAAACTGCAGCCAGTAAGGTGAAAACTTTTCATCTTCTCCTGGTGCCTTCTGTATCAGGAGCTTTTGTTATTTAGACCTTTATTTAAGTTCATTTTTAATAGCTGTAACGTTTTGCTGCTTTTTGTAAATGATATGGTAACACTGAAGACCATGCTTGATGAGTTTTCTATTGTGATTCCTGTTTTGGGGAGTTGGATTTTTGGTGATTTGATATATGAATGTTTTTTTGAACCTCTTAAGATAGAATAATTTAAGTATGTGTTTGGATTAGCAGTCGTATCCATTGGATTGGTTTGAGCTTATGTTATAATTTTACAAGTCCTATTTGGTGGAACATGCCTTCCTGTGTATATGAACTTATTATTAATACAGAACGGGTAGCCTTTAAAATCTAGCCTTGAATTAGATTGACCTATTTGGGGCATATGTCTCGTCATCTGAGTGACTTTTATTTTTACAATTTTCACTTAGAGACCACCACATCACAAGGCAAGCGCTTAATGTTACTGTTCCTTGATGTTCTTTTCTTCTCACCTTGACATTCATTCGGCCTCATAAATCCAACAGGTATTTCTGGCCGCTGATGATGATGCTACACCTATTGTGTGTTTTCTCCTCCAAGAACCAAAAAAGTTGTTGTCTTTACGACTTCAGAGCCTGGAATTAAATAGCGAGACAGTCTACGATATAAAGCCTGAAATGAGCTGGAGCATATCAGCAGTTGCTGCTGCCGCCGTCACTGTCACTCGACCTAAGTATTTACTGTTATTTTTCGATTAGGTTTTGTTCTTTCCGATTCACCATATGACTTGAATGTGACTCATGCAGAGCGAGAGTGAGAGTGGGACAACTTCCAGTTAGCGATGTTATTGCTTTGACTCCAGAAAGCACTCTTCTGCTTTATGTAAGTTGCTGGAGCTTTCACCTATTTTGATCTCAATTTTGCAGTAGTCGGACTTTCTACATGCCTATTTGGTGCATGCCAAACTGTTAAGGAGTTGATTGTTGAGTTTACACTCATGGTGGTCTCAATTTATGCTGTATTGTGTATGATTTCTAGAGTTTATATTTGGAGAACGCAAAAGTGTGTGCCTGTGTCTGATTGGCTCTCAATTGTTAATGAAAGCAAATGATCTGAAGTCTTTCTGTCCGGATGTGCTTTGTATATATATATATATATATATATAGGTGGTGCATCGAATGATAATCATTCTTAAAATGCGAGATTAATCGCAGAATATCCATCCACTGAGCTTGATCCAATGGAATGTAAATTAGTTAGAGTAATGACATATCTTCTTCCTTATAAAGGTGCATCAATCAACTTCTAGCTCTACATGAGCAATGATTTTGAAGTTCAATGCTTATTTCCTTTTCTCTCTTCTCTATTCAATTCTCACTTCTATTAAAATTACTCTATAATTGTCAAAATATACAAACATATTCATAAATTACAACCATATAATTCCTCATAACCTAAATAATAAAACTCATGCCATTTTGCTGGGTAAAATTTTATATTTAAGAGTTCAAATTAAAATAATTTATAAATGTAATTTACAAATAAAAAAAATAATGCACATTTTGATATCCATTTATGCACATTTTGTAGCATCAGTGCACATCTAGAAGGATAAGAGTGCTACATTACACGTTTGGTTTCTCTATTTAAAATATATTTATTAGTCAGCCAACCACCCACTATTTGAATGCACATTTAGATCTTCTTTAATTAACAGTTATGTCTTTTAATCGACATTTAGATTGATATATGTATCACTGAATGTTTTTTTTTTTTTTTTTTCATTAAATAGTTAATCCATTAGATATAAATTTATGATAACCCAACCAGGATTTTGCCTTACGTTCCTACTTTAAGGATTGGTTCCCATTTGACCCAAACTATATATACATATATATAGCTCTGTGTGTACATTGTATGTGTTCTTGGTATGAAAACTTGTCTGCATCAATTGTTTCTTTCTGTTTTCCAGTTATATGTAGCATATTAAAGAATCAGTGGAACATAGGTGGAAATTAATACTTTCTTTTGTTTCTTTTAGCTTTAGAAGATCATGTTTCTTAACATGAGAAATTTGCTTCATGGCAAACTGTTTGTATTACTGTTTCCATATAGATTCTTGTACTATTTCAGAAGTAATATTGTTCAGTTCGCTAACTATTTGACTTAAAATATGGGTATCATAATCCATGAGGAGAGTTTCCCAGGATTTTTTTCTTACACAGAAGTCTTAAGGAAAAGAGAGAATACCTTTTGTGGTTGGGGTGTTTTTGATTGTCATTTTCTTTTTCTCATTTATGTCAATAATGATTGCTACCAAGCCTTTTGCAATTCTGCATAGTTTGTTATATGGACTTGTTAGTTGTTTCTGGAACTTCCCTGCATAAATTATTTGGGTTCCTGCTCCATATGTGCTAGCTGGAACTACTCATTTTCTGGTCTTGCTTTTCTGTTTCATGAATATAAAAAATTATTCGTCTCAGCTGTAATCTTTGTGGAGATAAACTTTATCTTGTGTTAATGGAAGACTTGTGGTATAAACCTTTTCCCTTTCATGAATTTACTAATTTACTAAATTCTATGATCAAGATGGGATTTCTACTTAATATGATTAATTGCTTCATAGCCATACAAAGTTGGATTACCCTGTATCAGAGGCATCCTAGAGTAAAATGAAGGGTTTATAATGATCTGCATATCTTATATGGCACCTCACATTGCACATTTATCCTGAATTTCCAAATCTGTGACTGTTGGCCTCAAAGTTTGTTAACAGTGCGGCCCATTTGTAAGTGCAGATGGGAAAAATATGCTTGTGCAAATATGTTTTGCCTTCCCCTTTGAGTAAAGTACGATATTTCAGCAGAATGGAGGTTTCGGGAACCAATGAACCCGTACATGATTTAAAGATCGTGGATTTAGTTGATGCTGTAGAAGGGCGCATCAACATAGTTCTGGACAATGGACAGGTACTTTTCAGGAGGTTGTTGTGGATATTTGGAGGAAATGTTTGATATATTTTTGGGTACATTGGGAGATATTTTGAAAAAGGAAACAATGTAATTGAGCTGACGATTGTCGTTAATTTCAGCTGTATTATTTTCTTAGCCACAGTGTGGATAATGTAGCTTGGTGGTGTGTTATTATGTTTCTGTTCACATGTGATGTAAAACTACAATCTAGTTTGTCTGGAATTGAGTATAAATAGCATAGAGCAGAAACCTTGCTACTTTTAGATGTTATGTTACACTACCATAATCTTTTGAGTGATTCTTAAGTTCTATTTTTTTTTTCTTCGTATGAATTTCTGACAATTATGATGCTAACTCATTTTCTTTCTTTTTCTTATTTAGAAATACAGGTGTACATTACGACGTAGTCCTTCATCATCTCTAACTAATGATTGTATCACAGCAATGGCTGAGGGGCTGAATTCTAGTTTGTATAATCACTTCCTAGGGCTTTTATGGGGTGATGATGATTCGACTTACTTAGCTATGGCGAATTCTCACGCTGATGCAGAATGGGAGTCCTTCTGTAATGTGATAACAAAAATGTGTCAGAAGCCTAGTAAAACTTTTCAGTCACTACAAGATTCAGTTTCATGTTCTTCTTGGGAGTTTCTTATCAGGAGTCAGTATAATCACCAATATCTGAAAAGTACTTATCCCTTGCAAGGGTCCGATTCTTCTGATGCCGATTTAGCTGGCACCTGCAATCAAGAGGAAAGCTGTTACCTCCAACTGCTGACTGAAACATTAGATTTGTTGCATGCAGTATACGAAACTCTTAAACTTGACAATCTTCGTAGAAGGTGCTATTCTTTATGCATATATATGTTTTGTGTTCATTATCAAACCCTTGCTATCTGTGAGTACATTTTCTCCTTACATAACTCTTCCATGTAAAGAACCCTTTTCTCTGCAATGCATATATAGCCTGTGAGCTGTCTTGCTACAAGTGCCAGGATAAATGTTCATTTTGAGCTGTCGTTCATCAGAAAGCGCTATATGTACTAGGAGCCCAATATTTACCTGCTTGATGAAGCTTTCTTTTACTGAGTTGGGGGTCTTAGCGTGCTAGAGAATCTGGAAACTATTTGTGATTGGTGCTACTTTTCTGAGTGATGCTAAAAGAACATAATGGATGGCATGGAGTTTGACGTAATATACACATGACAGTTAATTGGTTAGTGAGTCTTGTTGGTTATAATGCCGTTTAAGTTGAGCAACCAGGTGAAATTTGTAAATAAATTGGAATGCTCAAATAACGTTCAATGTGAATATTATTGCTAGACATGAATGTGATCTACTGAAGAATGTCGTGAACATGTGAAAACTAAATTTAAGAAAAAGAGACATGAAATAAGTGCATATTTCAAATCTTTGGAGTTTTATATGCATTAAATATACTTTCTTATATCAGGATCGACTCTTTTATGCCATGTTTATGGATGGTTTTATTTATTTATTTATTTTTATTAAGATTTGTATATAGACTTCGTTAAGCTCACTTTTTGCAGACTTCTGAGTCTCAGTTCTACATTTGCTGACATAGTTCCTCTTTCTGTAGGGATTTGGGTCTTTTGGTAGTTCTCTTACATGCTCTTGCTGCGTTTTTGGATGAAGCGAACTACTTGGATCATTATAAACGTGATTTTCCTGGATTATTGAAGGACTTTAGGCCATCTCATTGCCTGCGTCCTGCAAAAACCCCTCCAAGTTTAGTCAGGTGGCTTGAGAATTGCTTGCAGTATGGATGTGATTCTGCAAGCATTTGTGATCTTCCACTTCTGATGTGCAAGGATGGAGCTTCCATCGTGAACTGGGCCCGCAAGATTGTTTCCTTTTATAGTCTTTTGTCTGGTGCAGACATATCGGGACATAGGTTGTCGTCAGGTGTTATTTGCAATATTGCACCTGGGTCACATCATACTCGAGAAGAGCTTACAGTTTTGGGAATGGTTGGTGAAAAGTTTGGATTGCAGCATTTAGATTTGCTACCAGCTGGTGTCTCTCTTCCACTGAGGCATGTAAGTTGATGCGTCATAGAATGTCATTTCTTTTAAATAAAATTCTGCAGAAATCTTTGATGTCTAACGTAACTTCGTTTCATTCATATTATACTATGAAGTATGAAGTTGTTTTGTACTTTTTGTCTTAATTCGTCTTATTGAATGTTCACCTGTTTTTATTACAAGATCCAGTACATGCAAATTCTTTTTAAGATTGGTTTGTGGTGAAATTTGAACGCCCAAGTGGACCTACTTGAATGTGATCTCACCTAGGACCTTAGCTTTTGGAAAGGATTTATGATTATTCATATCTATTTTATATTTGGTATGCATTACTGTATATTTGTATGAAATACTGTAATAATAGTATATTTATCATCTGTGGCTCAGGCAATAGATAAGTGTCGAGAATCTCCTCCTTCAAATTGGCCTCCAGCTGCATATGTGCTACTTGGTCGTGAAGATCTAGCATTGCCGCATTTGGGAAATCCAATGAAATGTGCCAAACTTGATTTTGGGAAGTCAAAATTGATTTCAGTGTCTACACCTTACATGCTACCCCTGCATCCTGTGACCATTCCTTCCTCAGTCTCTGATACTCTTGAAATGGATGTTACCAAGCTAGAGGATATGGACTTCTTTGATGGATCTGCAGCAGATGGAATGGAACATATTTTTAACTCTAGCACACAATTACGTTATGGTCGTGATCTGCGGCTGAATGAGGTGATTTTTAACCAAACTTGCCTAGATTTGGATCTGCTCAAATGAAGTGATTTTTATAGTGTGCTACTTTTAACTGCTGGCATTCCTGATAACTTAATGATCCTTATAATATTTGTGTTCTCTTACCATGCCTATTTCTTTGAATTAGTTAGGCTAATATATGCTTTCTAATTTACGTAGAAGGTAGTTGAGATATTGCACTTCACTAATATTCATGTTTGACCTTTCTTTTCCATGTGCTTATATGTTACTGTAACTTTCCTTCCATCATCTTACATCCTTGCACACATTTTATGCGGGGTCGTGCAATACTGCAATAGTCACTTAGAGTTGCATCTACAATTTATTCGCTGAGATAAGATGATCGCTGCACTTAATATGTGCCTGTGGCTCTTTGCAAGGGATAAATAGAAAGAAACAGCACTTTTGAATTGTGCATTTTTGCTGCACTTGACTGAGGTTTGTGTTTACCCAATTAATACTCTCAAGGGACTGCTGTTTCGTGTTCTATGGCTTAATCACGCGTTCTTTCATCTTTCATGTACTGGAGATTCCCCATGAGAAATCAAGACTGTTGTGTCTTCATTATAATGCAATTTCTACTTTAATGTTTTTGTATTGATCTGATAGATTTTATGACGAGAGTTCAATTCTGATGTTTTTATAGGTTAGACGCCTTTTGTGCTCTGCAAGACCCGTAGCTATTCAGACACCTGCTAACCCTACAGCGTCTGATCAGGACTTCCAACAGGTATGGCTGCTGTACTCACTCTGCAGGCGTCTAAATTTCTCCAATTAATTACTGATTTTATCATACTTTTTTTTTTACTGTTTTAGTGCGTGGTTCTGGTGTAACAAGGATGATGTTGAACTTTCTAAATCCATCTTATAAAAGCTAAACATTGATTCCTCCTCACTGTTGTTAATTGGACATTGATGGGGGTAACTCACGTGGGCTCATAGTTTAAAATGGCGACGCCATTGCGAGAGGCGCCGAGGCGAGGGGTCAACCGCCTGCCTGAGGCCACCCTGTTTTCAAGGCACCCACCTCAGGTCGCGTCGGCTTGCCTTTTCGCGTGGCAAGACGCCGACGAGGCGCGCCTCAGCGTCTCTCTGTTTCAATTTAAAAAAA